ATTAATTACCCGCCTGGCAGTTAAGAGGTTTTATTCCCTCCCTAACTTCAGGGGAAAATCCCTATCTGGGGAAACAACCTTTCTCAGAGAGGTGACCTTGGTAAAAACACATAGTGCCAAGAAGGTGACCAAACATATTAAGAACAGTATGCCATATATGCCAGGTCCCTTGAAACAGCAAGGATGGACCGGCTCCTGGCGATGAGGGAGGGATCTCCCATATTATTCTGGTATTTGTTGTATGTTTGAAATTCTTTATAATAAAACATTTTTAAAATTAGGGTGAAAATTAAGGGAATGTGTTAAAATGATATACTCTGCATCTTTTTATGATAAGAAAAACAGTTATGAAGGGATAGAGGAAAGAAAAATCAAAATCCTATGTTTATGTTAAGAAGCCTTCAGCATTTTATTTCTAAACTTTTGTTTTATTGCTTCTATAATTTAAGAAGTTATAGTCAAACTATGAACTGAGAAAATCTACTTAGCTATGCTCTCTTTTGAGCATAATTTAATCCGTTTCTACATTTCAATTAGCCAGAGATTCCTGAATCTTCTAAGACAGATACAGTGATTTATTTTTCTTTGCAACATCTACTTCAGGTACTTCCCTAGCTTTTTAAAAATTTTTTATTATTATTTTTAATCAGAGAGGAAGGGAGAGGGAGATAGAAACATCAATGATGAGAAAATTATTGATAGGTTTCCTCCTGCATGCCCGCCCTGGGGATTGAGTCCGCAACCTGGGCATGTGCCCTTGACCGAAATCAAACCTGGGACCTTTCAGTCCACAGGCTGATGCTCTATCCACTGAGCAAAACCAGCCAGGGCTTCCGTAGCTTTTTAAGTGACAATTTTACATTGTGTTCTATTTGAAACCCAGTCTCTTCTGCTGCATATTTATGTATTCAATGCTAAAACCAGCATTTTGGTATTTTACATTTTAGCTAAAGACAGCTCTTATCTTTTTTTTCAGAGACAGTTAAAAATATATATGTATAGACAATTTGTGTGTGACTATAATGGTTACTCGTAAACTATTAACTAATGCTATGAGAACTGTATTTATCTAAACCTTAAATAACTCTGTTATTACATTAAAACCCGCATATGTGTATTTGTGTGTGTTTTCCTATTACCATAAAGAAAACCTAACTATAGGGAATCAATTTTAAAATACACTTACCAGGATGATTGGAAATGGGAGGCTGGAATGCAAGCTCATTGTGAACTGGCCCTAAAGAAAAGATAATAGAAATCCCAATTTTATTTATTAAAAGTTCACTAATATTAAAATTTTTGATACACCTTATTTAAATATAACTATCATACCTTAGGAGCTGTTTGGATCAAGTTTCTGCAATGTCTAAGAACTTAAAAGCTTAATTTAGATTACTTCATAATTATAATAAACAAATACTCTTGAATTACTTTTATAGATACTTAATAGCTAACATTTAGTACTATATGCACTAGTGCTGTTAAGCAATTTACAATAGTTGTACATGCAAAACTTAATGTAAATTATAAATTATTCATGTAACATGTAATGCAATATAATTTATAATGTAATATGTAATAATAACTCAAATTGTTAGGTGCATTCTAAAAACAAGTGTTCATGACTTATTAAATTAAGGCTATTTCCATAATGGAACAGTAGCTAACATAATTGAGAGATTATTATGTGTTAAGACATTGTGCTAAACATCTCACATGAATTATTACATTTATTTCTTATAACATTGGGTTAGATACTACTAATTACTACTGTTACCCTTAAGGCAGGGGTCCTCAAACTTTTTAAACAGGGGGCCAGTTCACTGTCCCTCAGACCATTGGAGGGCTGGACTACAGTTTAAAAAAAAAACCTATGGCCAAAACCGGTTTGGCTCAGTGGATAGAGCGTTGGCCTGTGGACTGAAAGGTCCCAGGTTCGATTCCGGTCAAGGGCATGTACCTGGGTTGCGGCCACATCCCCAGTAGGAGATGTGCAGGAGGCAGCTGATCGATGTTTCTGACTCTCATCTCTCTCCCTCCCTCTCTGTGAAAAAATCAATAAAATATATTTAAAAAAAAAAAAAACCTATGAACAAATTCCTATGCACACTGCACATACCTTCTTTTGAAGTAAAACAACAAAACGGGAACAAATACAATATTTGTATTTGCATGTGGCCCACAGGCCGTAGTTTGAGGACCCCTGCCTTAAGGCTTAGAGAGATTAAATAACTTGCCAATGGTCACACAGCCAGTTAAGGGTCCAAATTCAGCACCCTTAACTACTATGCTGTCTCAGCAGCCATTAAAAATTATATTCTTTAAGATATCAAAAAAATAATAACATAACTGAAAAAAACAAAACAGGATATAACAATATACACAATATGATCTCCTCCTCCCCCCAAATTTATATATACCCATTTATGTGACTGGAAGGAAAACATGACAAAGTATTAAAAGTGGTATCTCTCTGGGTAGCAGGATTCTTATTTATACATTTCTATGTTTTTTTTAAGTTTTCTTTGGGACTATTAACCTTATATTAGAGGGAAAAAGATTTAATCTATATGAAAGATTTATACTATTGATTTTACTAAGCCAAAAGAACAAACAAAGTTCCTATTCTGCCTGAAACTTCAAGCTATGGTTAATCAGTAGGGTATCCCTCCCAATCATGCCTACAGATGCAATGATGGGTTCCACATCAGAGTGTCTGGTATGCTAAATACTACAATGAGGGAAACCTTGAGATCTTGACACTCAAAGGGTTTCAATCAACATGGGGTGGATATACAGATACACATGAGATCTAAGAACATGCACAAAGCAAACAAACAAATGAATGGAAATCAATGTGGTGTTAATGAAACATTAGCAACGGAAAAATATATGTATTTAGTAAACATTACTCTTCCAAAACAAAGGTATAATAACACAGTAATAAAAAATGTTTACCAAAAATACTGAAAAACTCTAATCATTTAATAAAAGTAAATTGTAAAATGAACAAAAGATGTAAAAACATTTTTTAAATGGAAAAAAAACGAAGTCCTCAAAAAGAAAAGGCCCTTACAACAAAAACAAGAGCTTACAGTAATGTCCGGGATGGGGCGGCATAGGCGGGTGGTGCTGAAGATGGCCGTTTTGGTGGTGAGGCAAATTAGGTGTGTATGGTGCAGTCCTACTTCCAGTCCAGGTGGTAGTGCTGTCTAAAAATTAAGGCCCACATGGATTAATTTGTTTTTATAAAGTCTGCCTACTTCTTCTCAACTACTTAAAATATTTTAAAAAGCATGTACATACTATGATGGTAAGTAGCTGGCTGACCAGTAAATCCATTCTGCTGCTGTCCTGGCTGAGGCCCTGAAGCTATCTGCAACAATCCTTCACTATGGCTGCCTGCCAGTATACTGGCAGGCTGACCTAGAGGAACAAGAAGACATTAAGATGGCACATTTATAGATGCAATCCTATGGTTTTACATAGTAACTGAAGGACCAAATTACATGATAGTCACAACTATAAAAATGAGCAAAAAATGAACTCATTCATGACCTATCAAATAAAAAATCCTAAAGTCCTCTATAAAGGCAAATCTTAACTTGAAGAAGTTCAAAATCATTCTATCTTAAGTAATGGCTAGCTAATTTTAGTGGCCTATTTCTTCACAATATTCCTCAAATGCCAGAAAAATCCCACTATATGTCTAGGCTACCACACTAACTTCTTCAGAAGCATATCAGCTCACCGCAGCCACTCCACTAAGCTCTGAACCTTTTTGATTAGCAAAAGTCCAGGCTTAAGTACATGTTGAAGACTGGAAAGTTCATTATTATCAGCTCTGGTACTGGTAATAATAGAATGCTAGAGTTTGATAAAAGAAAAGCAGATCAGGCAAATATTTTAAATGAAATGTGATGGATAAGGTGAGAAAATTTAAAAAAAAATTTTCAAGCTCCACTGTTTGTTACAGTATGATTGCTAGTCTTAAAAAAAAACTATCAGACTATCAATCTTCTTTGAAATTTTTTCATGTACTTTTAAAAATCAAGAATCATCTCTTCCCAAGAACATTAGCACACTCCTGAAATTACAGGAAACTAGTTGCCTTCTCTGTATGTAACAAAGAAGACTAAGCTTCCTCTGGCTTCTATCCAATTAAAAGCCATTCTATGATGGCTTACTGGCCTACATTTTTAAGGCCTTTTTTTTTTTTTTTTTAGTGGGAAAAAACTTGATTTCTTCAAGCAAGCATTAAGTCAACTGTTTGTCTCATTTGTAAAGCACTGAAATTTTGTAATTATTACTTGTCTAATCTTCACAGGACTCAGCCCACTTAAAATGAAGTCACTTTAGCAGGCATCAACAAGGCCTACGATTTCAACCTCCAGATACTATCAACAGGTTAGTATCTGTGCTCTAGCACTAATCTATGCTGTAATGTACATTCTTTATTTCTCCATCACTGCCCGTTCTCTTTGTCAACTATGTTCCCAAACTGGTAAATAAAGAGTAGATAGCCTGGCCGGTGTGGTTCAGTGGTTGAATGTCAGCCCTGAAGGGCTGAGGGCTATTTTCAGACGGGCCAAGCCTGCAACTGAAGCTCCCAGTCTCTCCTTTTTTTCTTAATTCTGGGATTTATTTACTTTCTGTAATTGAAACTTTGTTGTGGCTCCAGGTGCGGCAGGCGGGTCATGATTTGATTCTCAGTCAGGACATATGCCTAGGTTGCGGGCTCAATTCCAGTGTGGGGCATACAGAAGGCAACCAATCAATGGTTCTCTCTCATTACTGATGTTTCTACCTCTCCCTCTCCCTTCCTCTCTGAAATCAGTAAAAACAAAAAAATATCTATCTATCTATCTATCTATCTATCTATCTATATATAAAAGGCTAAGTAACCAGCCGAATGGCCAGCCGGCCGACCAGCTGAACAGCCAGTAGGTATGACACGCACTGACCACCAGGGGGCAGACACTCAACACAGGAGCTGCCAAGCGACAGCAACATTATAGCATGCCCTCTCACACTCCGGGACCCCTCAGGGGATGTTGGACTGCTGATTTCAGCCCGATCCCTGCAGGCCAGGCTGAGGGACCCTGCTCACTCCGCTAATGCCCTTCAAGCCCTGGCACCGCCTGAGGTGCTGCTAGCCAGGGAGGGACCACGGGAGGTTGGCTCCAGGGTGTGTCCAGCCCATCTTGCCCAGTCCTGCCCCACCGGCCACCTTCTAATTAATTTCTTTCGAATGTGCACGAATCCATGCACCAGGCCTCTAGTGTGTGTGTGTGTGTCTGTGTGTGTGTGTGTGTGTGTGTGTGTCTGTCTGTCTGTCTGTTTGTGTATTAGAGGCCCGGTGCACAAAATTTGTGCACTGGGGTGGGGGTGGGGGGGGAGGTCCCTCAACCCGGCCTGTGCCCTCTCACAGTCTGGGACCCCTCGGGGGATGACCATCTGCTGGCTGAGGCCTGCTCCCCAGGGGATTGGACCTAAGCTGGCAATCAGACATCCCTCTGGCAGCCCGGCAGCCATTGGGGGATGTCTACTTGCCAGCGGGGAGCAGACTTAAGCTGCAGTCGGACATCCTTAGCACTGCTAAGGAGGCAGGAGAGGCTCCCACCACCACCGCTGTAGTGGCAGCCATCAGCCTGACTTGTGGCTGAGCAGCGCTCCTCCATGTGGGAGCTCACTGACCACCAGGGGGCAGCTCCTGCATTGAGCGTCTGCCCCTGGTGGTCAGTGTGTGTCATAGAAACCAGTCATTCCCAGTCTTTCTGCTGTTAGGGTCAGTTTGCATATTACCCTTTTACTATATAGGATAGAGGCCTGGTGCACGGGTGGGGGCCGGCTGGTTTACCCTCAATGGTGTCTCAGATCAGGGTGGGGGTCCCCACTGGGGTGCCTGGCCAGCCTGAATGAGGGGCTGATGGCTGTTTTCAGGCTGCCTGCATCCCGTTTAGGGTAGGGGTCTCCACTGGGGTGCCTGGCCAGCCTGAATGAGGGGCTAATGGCTGTTTTCACGCTGCCCGCACCCCCTCAGTGTGAGGGTCCCCACTGGGGTGCCTGGCCAGCCTGGATAAGGGGCTGATGGCCCTTTTCAGGCTGCCCGCATTCCCTTCAGGGCGGGGGTCCCCACTGGGGTGCCTGGCCAGCCTGGATGAAGGGCTGAGGGCTATTTTC